CAGCATTTTATTGAAAGAAGCGTCAGTTAAAGCTAAAGTCAGAAAATGTTCCAGTAAAATCTTTCAAGAAAAACATAAGAGGGAAGCTTTATTAAAAACTTCAAATGATGGGGCCACGGTGAAAAAGGCCCTGTCTTTTGTGTTAACCAGCTGGATAGCACTCAGAGGAATGGAAGGAGAAGGACTTCAGTTACTCATTTTAAAGGGTGACTAGGTTGGTACAACTCTGCTCTTTTGGGAAGCACATTGACCTGAGAGGACACACAATGTATTTAAACTAAAGACTCCTGGGCTACAGCAATGGTGGGGAGCATTGTGATTTATTTGCTTTTGGGTAAATGAATGTTCACAACACTCCCCAAATTCCAGATACGCCCACTGATTCTAAACCAGGGGTCGGCAACCTGCAACTCTGGAGCCACATGTGGCTCTTTCATCCCCCTGCTGTGGCTCCCTGTTGCCGGTCGGCTCCACAATCGATAGGGCTTTCGGTTAGGACAGGTAGAAGAAAAAGGATGCTGCCCTAGGAGGGGACTCAATGGATGGGGGGCTTCCGGTTAGGACCTTTGTGGCTCTTTTGAGTGTTTAAGGTTGCCAACCTAAACATTGCTTCAACTTAGCTTAGTTCCAGAACAGGTAGGAGAGAAATGTGGTGGATTTTTCTCTATTCTTCTTTTCCCTGGCTTGCTAGTTTTCTGTTTTATTTGGTTGGTCATCTTAATAATTTACCAATTGGAATACAATAAAAAAGGAATGCAAATCAACAAACATTGGAAGTAAACAGGACATTGTGGTGGTGGTGTTTTTTGAAAAGGAAAATGAGAACTCCATCAGAAGCACCGTAAAAACAGTAGGTTTCTCATTAAAAGCTAACCTGAAAACAGACTTGGTATCCATTTGCAAAACAGGAAATATAAATCTACTTTCTGTTTACTTGCAAAAAGAGGAACTATCCCCTCCTCCCTAAAAAGATACTGACAGCTAAAAACAAAACATTAAAAGGGTATTGATTTGGATAACATTTGCCTATTATCAGTAAAGTCAAACAAAACAGAAGTACTTGTGTATTTATTAGTCATTCAGGTACTTGGATGAATAACATCACACAGCCTTGGCACTTTAATCTGGGCTTCTCCAATAAGACGTTGTCCTCTCCTGATTAGGCCACCCAGCTACCTTCCCCTAGGAGAGAGGCCTACATAGGTAGTCCTCGCTTTATGACGACATTTGGAACCAGAATCTCCCATCACTAAGCAAAGAGGTTGTTAAGTGAATCGGGCCTGATTTTTCTGTCCTTTTTACCGCAGTTGTTAAAGAGAATCGCTGCAGTTGTTAAGTGAATCGGGCCTGATTTTTCTGACCTTTTTGCCACAGTTGTTAAGTGAATCATGCAGTCATTCATTGTCTCCAGCTTCCTTCATGGAGTTTGCTTGTCAGAAACCAGCTAGAAAAGTCCCAAATCCTAATCAAATGACCCTAGGATGCTGCAAATTTTACACATGCTGGCTGGCCGCCAAGCAGCCAAATTTTGATTATGTGACTTTGGGGCTGCCAAGACAGTGTTATGTGCAAGGACCATTTGTAAGTTCCTTTTTTCAGTGCCTTGTAACTTGTAACCAGGGGTGGGTTCCAGCTTCTTCTACTGCCGGTTCATTCAGGGACGCGATTCGGAACCTCAGCAGGTAAAAAAATGCTTCTGCGCATGCACAGAAGCAAGAAACAAGATGGTGGCACCTATGGCGCTGCCAATAGAACCAGTGCGGGGGCATGGGCGTCCGAGTTACTACCTACTCGTCCGAACCAGTCCGAACTGGTAGGAACCCACCTCTGCTTGTAACCTGTAGTGGCAGTACTGTACCGGCAATGAAAGCNAAGAAAGAAAACACATGGCCGGCAAGCCACTCCCACCAGGTCACATGGCCGGCAAGCCACTCCCACAAAGGAAGCCACACCCACAGAGTAGGTTCAAATTTTTTTTGAAACCCACCACTGGTGTGTGTGTGTGTGTGTGTGTGTGTGGAGGTGGGGGGATGTCATGGAAAGCCCAGCAAAAATATTCTACAGAGATGCAGCGGAGAAAATGTGGGCTTAATTGTGGCCTGGATGGGACACAAATGAACTACCCCTGTTCAACTGCTCCAAGCTTTCAAACAAGGAAAAGGAACAAGATGATTCAGATGATTATAATTCTGTTATTTCCTCACTGCAAAATGGCTGATTCTTTTATAACAGCAGTCTTGCTATCTAGTCAAGTAACAGCTCCCTACTAACATGCTGGGGAAGGGACGACTCATATAATATGCTATCTGTGGATTGGGATGGAATCCGTGGATCAGAATGTTGTGATGATTGCTTGTTCTCCTAGCCTGTTTTGTGTGAACCAAGCCTTTGAGGTTGAGCCATGCAATAGATTACATGCTTTGGTATCAAACGTTGCCTAACAAGAGATTTGCCAACTTGAAACATGTGTGAAATCATCCTGTGTTTCAATAGAGATGGCTGAATTAGTAGTTCCATACAAATGTTCTCTATGAGAACAAGTAGTCCTCAGTTTATGAAAGAAATTGGGACTGGAATGGCCATCACTAAGCAATGCAGTCATGAAGTGCAATGTCACACGACTGTACTGCTTTAGTGACAGCAGTTTTGGCAGTCCCAATTGCTGTCGTTAAGCAAGGACATTAGGTAAGTGCGACTTCCAACTTCCTGCTGGCTTCCCCATTGACTTTGGTTGTGGAAAACCAGCAGGGAAGGCTGCAAATTACAATGATGTGACTTCAGGATGCTGTAATGGCTAGAACTCCAAGGACAGTAGTAATCACCACTTGTTCAGTGCTGTCATAAGTTTGAACTGTTGCTGAATGAGTTAAGCAAGGACCATAGATACCAATCAGATCCTGTTCAAATAAGTTTCCAATTCAAACATGCATGTCTTTGCCTTCCTAAAAATTCCTGTCTAGGATCTACCAACCATGGCATTAGGGAGATATCTTCCAATACAGGAAGGAAAGCAGCAAGGTGTGGGAAGAGAAAGTTGAGTACCCCACCTGTTCTTTTGTTCTTTTAACTAGCTTCCTACAGTATCAGAAGATAACAGCATTCCGTGCGTCTTTGGTGTTTAGTCATGCTGGCCACATGACCACAGAGACGTCTTCGGACAGTGCTGGCTCTTTGGCTTTGAAATGGAGATGAGCACCGCCCCTTAGAGTTGGGAATGACTAGCATATATATGTGAGGGGAGCTTTTACTTTACCTTACAGTATCAGACTGAAGTAAGCGTCCGTTGCCAATCCAATCAGCTTTTGTGCAGGGAACTGGAGAAAGTGTAAGAGTTGACATGGGCAAGGGTAAGCAGCATCATTAAGTCAACAGTGAGCAAGTGTCCCCCATTCTGAAGGCTGGAAGGAGAACAGCCGAATTTCCAATTATTCAAGAGGCACATGAAAAGACCTAGCATTTGAACTCTGGAGCTAACTACTACTACTACTACTACTACTACCACTACTACTACTACTACTACTACTACTACTACTACTACTACTACT